AGATTAATCAGAACATGGGGGACACCTTTCTTTTCAGTACAGATTTGTGCTCCATTCCATTCCTGAGTCAGTACTGCTGAAGCAGTCTGCAAACCAGGTTGTAGAGATTTCATCCTGTCTCAGGTCAGGAAGCAAATGTAAGAACCTGTGTTCTGGGACCTTCCTTTTTAAAGCCCTTCTGTTGCCTTTTCTGATCTTTTACTGAGTGGTGCCAGATTCAGAGATGCAGGGATTTGTCCATAGGAAATGAATAGGGGTGGGGTGGAAAACCTGAAGAGTGATCATCTGCAGCTTAATTTAGATGATTTGGAGTTTTCAACTGAACATACTGAAGGGGCTTTAAGGCAAAGAATCAGCACACAAATGCTTGAATCATGGAGGAGAAATTAAATTTAATCTAAGTAACATTAGAGGTTAAAGACAGAGACCACAATTTGGGGTCAGTGGGAGTAAGAAAGTAGTTCCTCAGATTAAGCTTCATCTAAAGAATTTCTAAAAGCTATGCTGTAAAAACAGAAAACTATCCCCAGAAGATCATTGAGGTATCTATTACTGGTTGCACTCAGTAACGTCCTAAACAATATTTTGGAGAGATGTCTCAAGTTCTGAGTTTCTGGAGTTAGGTGGTCCTTATAATTAGTAATTAATACATAATAATAATAATAATAATAATAATGGACACAAAGTAAAAGGAAACAAGAAGACAATTGTAATCTGAGCAGTGAAAGCAGGAGTCAAAGTTGTAAGTGCAAAAACAAGGGACATTATGGATTTCTGGAAAATGGCCCAAGGATTTTATGTGCATGGGGGTGGAGGTAAGAGAAACCTAGAAACATATAAAACAAAATGCCATATACGATATGCATTTCTGTATCACTGTGGTGACACAGGATACAGGTATATTCATATAGTCAGTGGTTTGGACCTAACTTTTATTTCTTCCACATCCAGACCCTGCTAATTAAGCTGAAAATACAGATAATATCACTGAGTCTCAGTTGTCCATTTCAAAAGATAAATTGTTAAAATGGTGTACTTAACCTACCTACTTCAGAATGTTATGAGTCACATATGAAATATGTTTAAAATTCATCCCCAAATTGCCAAAGTCACTACTAATGTATTCTGCTAGAAAGAAAACAAGAATTGGAAGCCATCTAAATCTCTTCTACATATCATGTGGGAGCCATGCCTGGCAGGCACCAGCTGCACAAACCCTTGCTTAGGGAAGCAGAGGATCAGGAGTAAAGAGAAGAGCCCTGTAAGGGAATGCCATTCCTTCCCGCTCTGAGAGCAAGCCCCAGACACTAACAGGGTCTCCTGATGGGGAGAGTTTAACAGCAGCCTGCAGCTGGGGAATAGAAAATCATATCTGGAAACAAAAATACTATTTGAACCACTCCAGGAAAACGAGTGTTTCTAAAGTGATGGGGTTTTGGAGTCGTGGGGGTCTGGAGCTGATGGCCAAGAAAGAATTCTTGAGATGTGTTTGGTGCAAAAAGGTGATTTTGTTTTATGATTTTTTTTACCTCAATACCTAGAGTTTCTTGTCTCTCAGCTTCAAAGAATGAAGAGGTAGACACAAAATGAGCAGCAGGCAAAACTTTATTAGAGTAATATAAGAAAGTAGGAATAGAATGAAAGCTCTCTTTATAGAGAGGGGGCATTTGAAAGTGAATGCCTGTTACTGTAGGCAAGGGTCTTTGTTTTATAAGGTTTTGGTCACCACCTCCCTCCCACCTTTGTTTCTTCTCAGGTCCGACCCTTATTGGCTGGGTAACTCTAAATGTCAACTCATTCCTTTTTGATTGGCTCATTTCTTTTACATGAGGGGTGGTCTATGGCCATGCTGTTCCTTGTGCGTCATATGTTTTATGGTCTACTACTCACTTTTCGTCAGGTCTTTTGTCAAATTCCTGAGGGGAACCTGAGGGGGAATAGCGGCATCTGTTACAGTCTTAAGAGGAACCTTACACCCAAGAGGGTTTACTGTGGTCAGACACTCCCAGCATTATTCCAAAATATGTGTTTTTCCCCATCCAGGGGCCTCAGGTCCTCATCTTTCCCTCTCTGCCAATTTTATTCTATATTTCCCTATCATAATTTTATTAAATCACAGGGACAGGACCCATGGGCAGAAAGAGCTGCACTGGGGTTGTGAAGAGTGACCAGTTATATACCATGGAGTTGAGGGAGGTAAAGGCAAAAGGAAGCCTACAAAAGGACTTTCATATGTTAAAGATACCTGAGGCCTTGCTATTGTAAAGCTAAGGTTGTTTTCTCTCTAGTCAGGCATTAACTTTAAGTCAGTAGGGAGTTAATGGAGAAACGCTACACTGTGTATTTGCTTCAAGTATTTGTCAATGGGCTGCAGGTTATAAAGGAATTTAACTATAACTACCATTTCCTTCTTGCTTTTGTTCCCCACATCATTGTGGAAGGGAGGGTGATATTGGGGTTCTGGGAAACTAAATCTATAGGTTTCTGGAGATTAGGTTGTTGACAAGATTGCCTTTTTCTTATAATTTACTATGATTTATGTGAACTGATGGAGACTCATATTCTGCATGACTGTGGTCTCTATCAGTTAACCATTTGTTTTCCCCTTTCCTTTGTTCTTGGGCAGCCAGGAGTGCCTGAGCAATGTCACACATATCTCACTGCCACCGCCCCCCCCCCATGGGGTGGGGGAGGGTGGTGTTAACTTTTGCTTTGCCCTCAGCTTTCCTAATACTATCTCATCATAGAGGTATGAAAACATTGTTCCGATCTGAGTTCATGATTTAATAAAACTCTCTTCCTTGCTACTCTAACCCCTATGCCAAACTATTGCTCCTCCATCAGATTCTGTTGTCAAAACTATTCATTGTATCACTGGTGAAGTTTGTGTTTTCTTTTTTATAGAATTGATGGGGCAAACATACTATCATTATAATTATTCATGAGATGCAGAGGAATCCTAGAAATTACTCCAACCCAACCCACTGTATTAAGCAAGAAGATCAGCGTAATACAGTAATGAGTGAATACAATTGTGAGCTCTAATTTTCCTTGTTGGTAATGTGATATTATAACATATCTCATTGGATGCTGAATAATTCAATGGGATGAAGCCCTAGGAATTCTAGAAATTCCAAATCAATATGCAATTTATCTTATATAGTGAACCTCAAGAGTAATAAATAGGGAAGTATTTAAACTCCCAATGAAAAAGTGTTTCTAAACCCACAAAGTAATGGTTTAACAGAGGCCTTGGTGCATGTAGATAGATTTAGCTACAATGGACTGCATGATTTGAAGTACCCCACAAAGACCTGATCCTCACCTTTGACTAGCCTTCAGTCATCTTTCAAATCTCATTCACAATTCAGGGGGACAAGCACCTTAGAACCCTTCACCCTTAATGTAAAGGAGAGAACCACCTCACTTCATTTAAATTATTTTTCACCAGCCTATGTCCCATGTCAGAGGTACTCAGTCTCCTCTACATTCTCCTAATTGTTTGTGCAAGACCTGTCATTTGTTCTTATTTTTACCCATTGTTTCCTGAATGATCTTAGTTTGCTTCCTTGAGAAAGGGACAGTTTCTTTTTCAACATTGTGACCCTAGCACCTAACAGAATGCCAGGGGAGGACGTCAAATGTTAGAGAACATGGCAACATCGAACTGGGCTTGGAAACAGAGGAATGTGTACCTGTATCATTATACTAATAATGGAAAAATAAAATAGAAATGGGATGCAAAAACTTTAAAGATAAGACTTCATCACCCTCACACTATTGCAACCAGAACAATCAAGTGTTCACCTTGTCTGATGGCAGGTATCGGTCTCACAAAGCTATGTGGAATTGCTCCTTCTCCTCTTGAGATTGTTTCTTCCCAAAGTTAAGAATCGTACAAATATGAAGATATATAGAAAGGAGAAAAGCAATTTTTTTGGCAGGATCCACACCTCCCTCATTGAATGACTGTTTAGAGATAATGAAGATTAAGTTTATTTACAAGGTATCATCTTTTTTTAAGTTTTTATTTATTTATTTTGAGAGAGAAAGCATATAATCAGGAGAGAGGCAGAGAGAGGGTAGGAGAGAATCCCAAGGAAGCTCCATGCTGTCAACACAGAACTGTGAGATCATGGCCTGAGCAGAAATTAATAGCTGGACGCTTAACTAACTGAGCCACCCAGGCACCCCAGGGCATCATCTTTTAAATCTGTAATTAAAACAAACTATAGCTGAAAACTCAGAATGGGGGTGACATGAGACCCAGGGACATTTATCTGTGTCCCTATTTGTGCCAGGTTCTGTTTCCTTATCTGTGTAAATGGTTACAGTTGAATTGACAAATTGGGGAAAAAACTTTCAAAAAATAGTTTTCTAAGTAATTTTCTCCTCTTTGGTTTCTGCAAACATATTACAATTCTCTTAAAAATAAACCTTGAACAAATCAAACATGTAAAAACAAACCGTATTACCTCAGTCTTCTATACTGTTTAGTGATAGGAGTGGCTCTGGAGCATGGCACAAAGGATAAACAGGTGAATTCACATGACTCTGGATGACCAGCTAGGACTCACAAGTTTCACCTAACTAAAGCAAATTGTTCTAAATTTATGTGTCTTAAGTCAGTATCTAATTTTTATCCTAATTTTACAGATCACTGAAAGAAAGGTTCAGAAATATATATGACAAAATATGACAATATACCAAAATGGCACCAT